TATTATACAAGAGAATTTATTAATTTATTTAATGGAAGAATTGTATTCCCATTTTAAACGTAATTGTTTATTAATGGAAGTAATTTTAAGAAAATAAAATGTTAAAATATTAATTAATTACCTTTTGATTCCCTTGTAACAAATTCCTTTTAAAATCAAAATAATTCTTCCTTTTTTTGTCTCTATCTGTGGAATTTTTAACACAAAAGGGGTAAAAGGTACTTGGTTTTAACAGGGTTTTTCAAATTAGTTAGGACAATTTTCTTTGTGCTTTCAGGTATTGAAATATCGAATAGGGTGATGGATATACCAATAGAAGTATTTGAAGTTAACCATCCGTTTGTGTTCATTATCGAAATGGAATCGATTCTTAAAAAATACATATTTTACGCCGGTGTTATTTATGATTATTTATATTCTTAATGTTTTATTTAATTTGTAAATACGTAATAACAATTTTTCCTTTATTAATTTATCCGCAATAAAATACTCACTTAGTTTAGATCAATTTCCTTAAAAATTAATTTATTTCTTAATATTATTTTTATAACATTTAGAATAAAATAAATTGTAGAGTAAATAATTGCTGGTGTAGGTTTTTTTTACTAAACATATTTAACAATAACCAAGGTAAGCTTTAACGATTAAATAGAAATTATTTAAAATACAAAAAATTAAAAATTGAATATTTGTTGCAGCTTTCGAAATTGTTAATCGTATCTCGGATAATGATACCAATCCTTGTTATATCACCGTCAATCGACCTTTTATTATTGCAATTGAAACTACATCAGCTCAACATAACAAAACAATCCACAAAGAAACTCTCTTTATAGGCAGAATTGAAACTGTTCAAGATGAAATAAACAAAAATAAAGTTTAAACACTTTTATTTCATGTAACTAAACATCTCATTATATTTAATCACCTTAATAAATAAATCTTTTTTTAATCGCAATATAAACTACCAACACTTTCTTCCCAACTTCTTGCTTATACTGCTTATTTTTTCAAATATAATTTTTCTTTTACCTTTATTTTTAATTTTAGGACTGAAAATCACTTTCTTCTCTTATTCTCAACTAGATGAGTTTACCGTTAACCAACCATTCCTAATAAAGATAATCTCGAACGAAAATGGGAGAAATAACATTTTATTTACTGGAAGAATTTTGAAACCTTAAGTTCTTATAAAAATGGCTTATTCGACGATAATTACGACAAAACTATATTAAGTTTGTTTTATCTTGTTATTTCAAAGTTTAATTAAATATTTAATGTGACTTATTAAACAATTTACTTTAATTCAATCGTTAAAACTACGCAGCTTACTTACTCTGTTATATTTCATGAAGTGCGTATGGAATACAAAAGTATTCGTGTATGTAATTCATATAACTTAATTAATCATTGTCCTAATATCCCATATTAAAAGATCTACAGCTTTATCTGATAAATCCAACACCGAGCGCCCCAATATGTTGACCATTTTCAGAATGAACCTCGACGTCAAGCGATTTCAGCTTAATTAGACAACAGAATTATAACTTTACCTAAGCCAAAGCGCCACAATATCAGTATGACCAGTAGTCAAGTTGAGATAATCTTATCGCAAATTCTTTAATTTTTCTAAAATACCTAACATTGTAAGGTTCCATAAAACTGTAAGCCATGATTAAGAATTTTATGAAAACACCGTTGAATTCCTATAAATTTAAAAATTATATAGAATTTACGAGGAAACTTATCGTTTCGCTGCCTTCAATCAACATTGATCCAAAAATTATGGAATTCTTAGAAAGCTTTATGGTATTTTTTCAAGCAGAAGTTCTTGCTATAAATTTCTGCACCAGTTTTGCGTCTAGAAAAGGGATAGAAAGGTGCATCCGCATTGATGAGAGAGTGTACCAGCAACCTGAGAGAGCTCGCTAGGGGCAATAATGTTACTCTATGATGGGTTCCAAGTTGCAAAAACATTGAAAACAAAATAACACTTAAAACAGGCAATCAATTAGTTGGGAGATCGCAAAGATAGCCTTACGCTGGAAATAACTTCCAGGTCACAATCAGGTGAAGACTATGATAACCCTTCCATATTGGACCAGCTGAGGATCAAACTTGTCGACTTTGCAACGATGAGTCAGAGACTGCTGAATGTATACTACGTGAATGCGTCGCCAGAGACTGCCTAAGACACAACATTTTCGGCAGAATTCGCCTGACACCTACCAACATAAAGGAACAAGACCTTGGAGCAATACTAAGGTTCATCAAGGGCCTACATTTGCCCTAAACCTTTGGTGGGCTTAAGTTACTATAGATCTTATAGGTCGCGGTGACGAGAGGGGTCGCTCTCCTCAGCTCGGTAGCAATAATAATATGCGTTATGGCAATATAACAGACTTTGGTTTGAAGATTCTTAAGAAGTTTCTGGAATTCATATGATATCTTACCAGAATTTGCTGCAAAGAATTTCTCATTAAATTTAATCATTCACATCAAAGTTCCATGAAGTTGTATATATGAAATTAATAAGAAATTTATGAAGTTTTTGTTGTTAACATGAATAGTTGGAAGTTTCATTGAACCTCACTACAATAGGTACTACTTGTGGGACTTGGTTTTGGCTACAGTTTTGTTTACTTTTGCAGCATTCTTAAACATTGTAAATCTAACGAAGTTTTCAAGAACTTCACAGTTTTCCATAAAATCCAACAAAAATGCATTAAACATACATCATTCATTATAATTTCACTCATTTTTGTAAAAATGGTTAAGAGGTTAAAGCACGTTTAGCGTGCTAGATGGGATTTCTCGTAAAGTTTCGTAAAAATTTTAATTTAATCTACCACCAAATAAGTTTTGTGAAAATTACATTTTTGTTTTAATCTTTAACATTTAATAAATGGGTAAGTAAATAAATTTTCTTATTAAATTTGTTAATTGCAAATAATTCGAAGATTACGTATTTAAAGTTTCAAAATTTTATTAACACAAAATTGTAAATTTTTTGTATAAAGGTGAAGGATTTTTTTTAAGAAATCTTATGTTTATTTCTATATTTTTTTTTGTTTAACACTCCTTTTTTCTTATTTTTCAGGAATTGAACTCACCGATAGAATTATGATGGAAACACCATATTTCTGCGCAGACCAACCCTTCGTTTTTTACATAAATTACGAAGAATCACACATCAATTTATTTTACGCAAGAATCACAAACCCATGATACTTTTATTAATCAATAAATATTCATTATAATCAATTAATTTTTTATAAATATTTTGTTATAATTATTTGTTAAAATTTATTCTCAATAAATACACATTTTCACTTATTATTTTATTTCTTCTTTGTAAATAAATCTTTTTTTTTTAATTAGAAATAATTAATAAATTTAATAAATTAATTTAATATATTCTTAATATTTTCTGCTGGTGTAGGTTTTGTTACTAGAAATATCTAACAAATATATATTTTTCTAACTGTAATAACTTAAGGTAAGCAGTTTCAAAATTCTTCAAAAAGATCTTTTCTATTTAAAAATCGTTTTTAAATCAAAAATTATTTACAGTTCTCGAAATTGTTGATCGTATCTCGGGATCAGAAGACCCCGAGTTTCCCATATTCTTCGTCAATCGACCTTTCGTAATTGCAATAGAAACCACATCAACTCATCACAACAAAACCATCCACAAAGAAACTCTTTTTATAGGCAGAATTCAAAAAGTTGAAGCGGCACATGCGAAGCACCAGCATGTAGAACTATTTAAATTTTAAGAAGCATTTTTTTATGATGTATCATGCCTTTTTTATAATAACAAACCGTTTTGGCAATCATAATAAACATTTTGATTTCGCACTTAAATTGTTTTATTTCACCAAATTAAATTAAAAGCATTTTTTCTCAAAAATTAAGCAGCTTAGCTTCTTAGCGTCTTCATAAACATAAATTAATATTTAAGTTAATTTCAGAGGTAAAACATGAACTTCAATGCGCACCACTCATCCAACCAATCATCACGGAATATCAAGTGAATCGTTGTTTTACATTTTTTATTAGTAAGGCTAACAACGAGGGTGAATATTTTTTGCTGGAAGGAAAAGTGATTTTTCCAACTGAAATTGTTGATGATAAAAAATCTTGTGAATGTGGTTTACCACAAACACCGAAAGAAAAGGAAAATGTACGAGTTCAAATTCAGGTTTAAAATTAATTGTATAAAAAATAATAAATTCAAGTATTATTTAGCGCTATATTTTGTTCATTTAATTATTTTCAATGGTGATAAATATATCATAAATAGTCTGTTATTCGAGAAGGGACTTGGAAAGATGAAGCCATTACGTTGCGTTGCTGAAAAGTCTCTGAACATGGATGGTCTCCACAAAATAGTATCAAAATCAGAAAAAGAGCAAAGTTAAAATGATTTTTTAAAGGATTGACTATAAATAACGTTCTTAAAAAACACAAACATGGAGTTCATCTTCATTCATCGTGCTTGTCTAATCATTTTGTTCTTTGTAGTAATAACAATACAGTTCTTACATATTTACAGACGTTTTATGTTTTTTTTTTATAATTTAATTAATCTAGGAGCATCACTTTAAGTAAAATTGGTAAGTTATTAAATTTTATAGTTGTTATTTAAACATTCTTTTAATGTAAATAATCCCATATTTGTTTATTGATGCAACAAAATTGTAAATTTTTGTACAAGGTGTAGGATTAAATTTTTATTATTTTACTTACTAAAAACTTTTTTCTTTCTTATTTTTCAGAGTTTGAAATCACAGACAGAATAATGATTGAGATTCCATCTTTCTGCGCAGATCAACCCTTTATTTTTTATATAATTTACGAAGAAAAATCACCTTTATTCAACAAAATTCAAGAACAACTATTCTATGGAAGAATCACAATAATATAAATCACTTATCCACATTTATTTCGTATTTATATCATTGATCATTAAAAATAATGAAATAAATAAAACAAAATTTCAATGTCAATAAACATTATAAATGCAACTATATTTCAATTGAAAATCACTGTATAAAACGCGTCATTTTTTTCAATAAAATTAGATATTGTCCAACATAATTATTTTTCTAAAAGCAACATACAATAATTAAGAAGTAAAATGCGTTTTCTTTATCCTTTAATTTTGTTTAACAATTAATTAAGTTTTGAAGACATAAAAAGTAAGTGTGAAAATTAAAAAAGAAAACTATCCACAATGGTTCATTAAATTCTATCACATTTACACCGTTATTACACGTATTCTTTATAATTATTATAAATTCCCTTTTTTTATTAATTTTAATTTTATTTTTAATTATTTTTTTCGCGAATCGTCAACATGCCTCTTTCGTTAGTGCCGTTGGAATACTTTCTTTCGTTTTCGTCGTAAATATGTCACCAAGAAGTTCAGGACATGATATTTCACCCTGTTGAATTCCATCTATTGTCATTAATAAATCATAATTTATTCTTTCTGTTACTTTAGAATCTTGCCTAAAAAATAATCAACATAAACATGATTTTTTAATTAATTACTTATTTTTATTAATTACCTATAATGTGGATGATTTGTAACAAAAGATCTCAACCAAGAAGCTGTTGTTAAAATCTCCCCAGATGCACGTTTTTGAATAAATTTTAAGTACTGTTGAATTGTACAATGTGTATCAGCATCAACGTCCATTCCACTGAGGTAATTATTAATTAATGGGATTAAACCAGGAAATTCACCTTCCTATTTTTTATGACACAATATTAAGATGTGATATATGCAATAAATTGACTTACTTTTCCATTGATAATGTCATTAACACTAAGTAAAGCAAAGCTATCACAATGTGATTTATCTGTGGTTCCTTTACAACATTGATTTGCTTCAGGTGGGCTAATTTGGGTTGTGATATCTTTTCTAAACCAAAATTGTTGCGTTCGCAATGCGTCCCTCTTTTGGGCATTTTGCATATTTTCATCAACCTTTAATTTTTTTAAAATATTTATTATCCAAATAAAATTATTTTTGAATAAACTTACTTTACTTATAGGAATAATAAAATTTAATTGGTAGGATAAAATAACCCTCGTTAAAAGCACTACAAAACATACAATAGCTGCATTTTCAAAATCTGTTATTTGAACCTCACACGGTCTAAACTCAACTCTCCAACCAATTTTTGAGTTTCCAGGAGGTGGTTTAAAACGCATCGTTTGCCAATTCGTTGATTGAATATTCTACAAATTTTTATTTAATAAATAAATCTTATTTTTAAATATTTATAACTTACTTCGAAATGATCTGTATCGTTTTCATCGTCTTGATGAACTTTTTCTGAGAACAACGAAACGGAATCTCTAATAAATAAATGAGCCACATGTTGAGCTAATAAATGATCGATTCCATTTGAGGTAAGTTTATCATAAATCGCTTGGTCGTAAACCAAAGGAACATCATTAAATTTCTCCCCTTGCGGCGATAAATACGAATCAATCGAATCATATCTCGATTTATTAATAACAAATTTATTCTCTTTCAACGGTTTTAAACCGCGTTCTTCCTCCGTCCGACAATCAACCGAACAAGAAATTACGTTCCAACGACAATCAACGTCGGTTATAAAACCGCGATGAAGAGGTGACGCCGCCGTTAAAGCTAACTACAAGATAATATAATTAATTTTGAGATAAATAAAAATAACCTTGCTAAATAAAGAAAATTTGAGACGTACCATAATGGGACATAAAGGAGTTAATTGGTCGTACAAAGTCCGCGCTTCTTCAATGTTACACGCTTGAAATGTTAATTGCAAACAACAACATCCCATTCCAAATCCCATTGCGTCCATATACACGCAATCTGGCAAAGCGGATTTGTTGTATAAATGTGAATCGTCGACGGGAATTTTTGTGTTGAAGTCCTTGTACACTAAATAAATAAATTTTTTATAAACACAAATAAATCTAAATATGAATGGGACGTGAAGTTAATTAAAGTTTTTTCAAGTCGATTATACAATTTATATTTTTTATAATTTATATTATGACATTTTTGTGTTTCAAACAAAAAAGATAATTGTTACCACATGCAAAATTTATTTATTATTATTTATTTAACATTTGATAATAAAATTTGATTAGATAATAAATTTTGTTTATCATAAAAGACAAAACGCATCACTTGGTTTAAAATATTATAAAAAATTTAAAATACTGTTCATTGAATAAAGTTTTTTGTAACTTTTGAATCGATGTCCAACATCAGCAAGATTTGAAACACATTTTTATAAAAAACAATGTTTAATAGTAATGTGATAATCTTGTGTGCAGAATCCTAATGTTATAAGGATTCAATTTCCCATAAAGAAGCACCATCAATAACCTAAACGGCAAAACAATGTTTGAAAACGTTTCTTGGAACTTGGTAGAGAAAGGGTATGAAGAGTATTCCTAAACAGATCATAAAAAATTGAAAATCTCATCGATCATTTTGACATCGTCATCATTGTAGAGGCGCTGACCACCCAAATGCCTCTTCAAATGCAGGAATACGAGGTAGTCATCAAGGTTTGTATATAAGAGGTTGTCTAGGTTTATACGCAACCATACTGCGGATTATGTCATTGGTGGAAAATAATACCGGGAAATAATTCAAATTTTTAAAATAATGTAATTGAATTATTTTAATATATTTAGTGTGGTATATAATTAACTGCGGTAGTAAAACGGGAAATAATTCAACTTAATTTTTGATATAAATTCACTTATCATAAAATAGTTGAGTGAATTTAAAGTAGTAATTGATTTATGCTACACCAGAGAAGACACTTAAACTCTCATTAAACATAACCTTGAGGTTGCACGCGCAATTCACCGCCACACTTCTTCTTGCCCCTCGCCCACAAACTAAAATCAAAGTATTGCAGTATAGGAACCTAGATAACTTCTTATATATAAACCTTGGGTTGAGTTGGGTTGGGAAACTTGAGGAATGCTCGTACCACATAACGACGAAATCATAACCGTCGGTTCTCTCTCACATTTTCATCAACTTTCTGGATCAAAGCGTCAATAATGACTGAAGAGCGCCCAATTCATTCGTCATCATTTCGCGTTCGTTCGGCCTTCTTTAAAAAGTCTCACCCACTTCCGTACCTTCCCATCACTCAACGTTTTTTCCATACACTTCATTAATGTGACGATGAATTTCAGCCGTTTTCACGCCTTTAGTACTAAGAAAACGAATCACAGCGCGTACTTCAGAGTCGGCCGGATTCTCAGTCGGAGGAATCATTCCAAATACTCAAAAACAAACATAAATACGATCGAATGATTTTGAAATTGAATCTGTGACTGGACAACCTATGGCGGTACAAAGCGCGTGCGCCAAATTTTGAAACTGTCCTTACTTAAACCGCACTATTAATAAATCAAACGCCACAACTTTCAGGCACGTGGAGCATGTACCAGTCGTTCTAATGATTTTCATACAATAATAATGTCGTTATTAATTATTGGAAAACCAATGAGTTCAAATATAGACTCAAAACAACTTGGAATGATAGAGGATAATTAGTTAGGTTGGGTCTGAAATTTCAAGAAAAATATGTTAATGATAGACACAATTAATAAAAAAGGACACATATATAAATTGGAAGAATTATGTATGCGGGCATCAACGTAATTAAAGACACGTTAACACATTAACACATCTTTGGGGCTGAGGCACAAATTTCATGTGTGGACAAAATCTTTATTTCTTGGCGCATAATGCGCAAAGGTAGATACACCACTAACGAAGTCCCCTGACAAAATTTTCAAAGATTTACCATACTATAAAGATATTGACTGAGATGGTGTGGTGTTTAAAGAAATTTTCTCTGTCACATTGACCAAATCGGCCTGGCGGACAATTTTTTTCTTGGTCATATTGACCAAGACGGCGGTGAACGTGTTAAGAACAATTTAAAGTGAAGTAAAAAGTTAACGGAAACAGAAATACAACTTTTTGTTAGTAGATAATTTGTTTTAAAATAGTATATTAAAAAACTAGTTTCGTAAAACACGCTTGAAATGCACGAATTCAAGTTTAAAAACGAGTTTTTTAATGAATGTGTGCTTTTACTCTTATGAAACGTGTTTTTTATGCTATTTTTTGTGTATCGCGTTTTTATGCTTTTTTTAACAAAAAATAAAATAAGTTTTGACAATGTAGGGAAATAGTTATAACCCTTGAAAATAGAAATTTGAATTGACAATTAGTCAATTTTGTCAAAACACAAAATGTATTCACCTGAAAAAACCTTTTGTAACCATTCAATGAGTTATCACAGCATAACTCCTTGAACTAATAAAATATGAAGTGTTTCATTAAAAAGCTACAACTTTCTTATCATTGTTGTATTCCACAGATAAGTGTAAGGAAAATCGATTATTCTCCTTATTTAATTGTTTTTTTACATCAATAACTTACCAGGTAGATTTATAACAACATTTTCACCACGACGCTCCCTAATATTTCTTGATAAAGTCGCAAATCGTGGGTGACCAGGAAAAACTGCATCATCTGGGAAAAATAAGGACCTCGTTGCGCCAGCGTTTGGTGTTGGTTTTGAAGGTGGATCAGTAAAGTTATCACATCCTAACCTAATGTTTTAATTAAGATATCATTGGTTTTGATCACATTTAAATAAAATACAAAAGCTTCATGTTATCAAAGTAACTAAAATCATAAAAGAAAATTCTTTCAAAAAGAATTTCTACTTAAAATATTAATATATGTATATATACAATGTTTTAACTTTAAAAAATAAATCAATTTGATGTGTAATAAAAAAAAACTCACAATTTAACCTAATCAATACATTGTCCCATCACAACAAAAAGACTTAAACCATCAAAATAAATTATTAACACAAAAGAGAACCTTTGTAACCTTGACACATGAAATAACAATCAATACAACATATAATTACCTTGGAAAACTTGTCAACGTTAACACACATTCTCCGGGATTTAAATACTCTTGTACTTCCAATCTACGATATCTCATATTTGCTTCAACAATATTAAAATGGGCCATTAAACCCCCATAAGGCACTCCGGGTGTTCCCTCAATCATATAAGCACCATATTCAGGTCTCCATAACGATTTAACACCAGTAGGATCTTGTTTTTCTTTAATCTGTAAAGCATCTAAAACGTCTTTAGCACGTAGGCTTAGTTTTGCTTCCTTTTTTTCATGATCAAATTTAACGATTACATATTCCACTTCATCGCCCCACTTTAAAACATCTCCTTGTCTGTCCCTTAACCGTTGATATAGGTTAAGAAATTGAATGATTCCGTGTTCTCGGACGTGTTCTGATAGTTTTTTGGTTTCTTCCCATGATAAAGGACTTCCTTCCGTTAACAAACCCATTTCGTTGTTGAATGTTCTTTGATACACTGAGATTTAGGTTGTATTTGCACGTGATATTTATACGAGATTTTTGAGCTCAGTTTGTTAGTGTATTGTTCTAGATTTTTGATGATTCTTTTAAGATGATGTTGCGAAATCGAAAGTGTCGAGCTGTGTTACACAACTATGCGAAACACACGATGATTACGGCTTTTATCGGAGTGGAACGTTTGAATTCCGACAGCGCAACAACTGGTTTTCAAAGAACTTAATTTTGACAGTTCAAAAAATGACAGCTTTATAAACTTTCATTGAATTATAATAAATTTTATTATTAATTAGCGTAATTTTATTATGGTTAATTGAATGTTGTTAAATTATAAATAAATAAAAAGATTTTTATGACTTTTTTCTATTTTTTTATTTTACAATGTTGTTTATGGCTAACTTCTCGGTTTATATCGGAGAATGAAATGATAGTTGAGTGAACGAAGTGAAGTTGTCCTCAGTCAAAAAAGGTAATTTAGGTTAGGTTTTTCTTAAAAGACTACATAAATTTATTAAAAACCGTTTGGTACTTATCAAATAATGAGAACTTATTAGTAAGAGAAATATAAATATGTCTGTACAATCAATAGTTCCAATAACGTCACTTTACTCGCGAATTTTATCGAGATTCCCTCAATATTTGCAATTCAGTTTTGCTTATGGATCTGGAGTAAAACAACAATTAAATAATAAAAATCATGGAAAGAATATGATTGATCTTATTTACTGTGTGGACGATTCGAGTAAATGGCATAAATTAAACATACAACGTAATCCTTCGCATTATAGTAGTTTAAAATTTTTCGGTAGTAAATTTGTGGTTCGATTTCAAGAAAATGCTGGGGCTAAAGTTTATTATAACACCTTGGTACCGTTGGAAGGTGTTTTTATTAAATATGGGGTTATAACAACGAAAGACTTGATAACAGATCTATTAGAATGGTCTGATTTATATTTAGCAGGCCGTTTACATAAACCTGTTGAGATTGTAAAATCAGCCACAAATTCCGAATTACAATCAGCTTTGCAATTGAATTTACAATCAGCTGTTCATGCTGCTTTATTAACCTTACCAGAAACATTCACTGAGTATGATTTTTATCACACCATATCCAATCTGAGTTATTCAGGCGATTTTCGCATGATGTTTGGTGAAAACAAAGATAAAGTTGAAAACATTGTTAAACCCCAAATTATCAAATTCCGCGAATTATACAAACCATACATCAAAATTTTACATGATTTCGTTGAATTTCCACAAATTGATGAATCATCTGATACAACCAATCATAAAAACGGCGAAGGAACTTGTTCCCAAGATATTAGACCTCTAGCGAAATTACATCATTTAAATCAACTACCAAGGTGGCCCCAAATCGCGCTAACCCGGTATTGGAACAGAGGAAATTTCCGCCAAGACACAGAAGATGTTCTAAGAGCTGTTGCTTATGATCCTGATTGTAATGTACTGGTGAGACAATGTATTGATGATATTGTTTGGAAATCTTCTATCAGACAGAGTTTAAAAGGCATTTTAACAGCTGGTATTTGGAAAAGTGTTCGGTATAGTAGTCGAAAAATTGCTAAAATGTTTAAGTAAATTATTAAACATATATTTATGGATGCATTTATATAAATTATATGTAAATAGTAGAAATAAAGATTTAGTAATGAAATAAAATTTGGTTTAGTATACTAAGTAAAGTTTTTTGCTCCATGACATTGATTTTGAGTATGATTCAAGTTTGAGCATAATCAAAACTTTTCTATTTGTTTTTCCTTTCATTTTTTCAGGAAATGCATCAATTCTCTGATTCTGATACACCTGATTCTGATGATGGACGTCGTTTTAAGACGGAATCAACCCGTCCGAAAAAAGACGTTTCAGAAAGGCAATATAGAAGATATCGATCACCTTCGCCCTGTAGAAGAAATCATCCGGAAAAACGAAGAAAATCGCGTTCGAGAAGTCCAAATCGATACGACAGAAGTAAACGAAGAAGCGACGAACGTTATAGAGATGAATCCAGAAGATATTCAAGGTATGATGAAGATAAAGATGAAAGAAAACGACGAGAAAGCAAAGAAAACAGTGTAAATAAAGATAAAAGAGATTCTGGGGAAAAAGATAAAAATGATTCTTCAAATTATACCAAAAGGACTGATTTAATAAGAAAAGAGGATGAAGGAAAAAAAAGTTATGCCCAAAAAGATGATTCTAAAAAGATTTTGAATAATGAAAATGAAATGATTGAGGAAAAAAGTTATGGTCCAACTTTACCATCAAAAAAATCGAATGATTTCAAAGAATCAGAAATTACAGAAAAAAATGATTTAAAAAGTTATGGGCCATCTTTACCTCAAAACCTCCTCAATACCAAATCTGATTCTGAAGAATCTTATGGACCATCATTACCTCCAGCATCATCATCTAAAACCCAATCTGAACCCACTGAAAAAATAATCGGACCAAGTTTACCAGAACATTTAAGAGAAAAATTAGCAAAAGCCAGTGAAAATGTAGAAATAAACCAAAATAATGAAAATGATATTAAATCCGAAAATGAATATGACATAAAATCCGATGATGATGATGATGATAACGACGAAATAATTGGACCCTTACCTCCAAATATGTTACCAACACTATCTCAAATAGAACTTGAAGAACGCGCACTACAAATTAAAATAAATAATTTAACTGCGAAAACAAACGAGACAAAACGCGAAGAATGGATGATGGAATTACCAGAAGTGAAAGCGATTGGTTTGGGGTTAGGTCCAAGACAATTTCGAGCAAATCCTCGCCCGGATATGTCTGATAGATCATCATGGACTGATACTCCAAAAGATAAATTAAACAAACAATCGTCATCAAATCCTGAAAGAGATTTAAAAAAAGAAGCTGAATACAAAGAGGTGAAACGAAGAGATGAAGAACAAGAAAAGATAATTAAGAAACATAAAAAATCGTCGAAAAGAGATGAAAAAAGTTTGTTGGAAATGCATCAATCGAAGATGGAGAAGAAAAAAGGTGAACCAGTTGAACGAAGGCCGTTTAATAGAGAAATTGATTTAAAAGTGAATCGTTTTGATGAAGCCCAAAAGAAAGCGATTTTGAAGAAAGCGCAGCTTTTAGATGATCGATTCTCTAGTGGGCAAGCGAAATATTTATGACGTTTTAGTAAAGATTTAGGATATTATTTCGATTTTATTTTTGTAAATAGATAATCACAAAACAATTTTTTTTTTCTTTTGTTAAATTTCGCATACAACTTGCGTTCCATTTTCACAACAAATTGCTTCGGCAGGCAATGAATGTGTATCTCTCCATTCATTTTCGCACATTTTACTGAAAAGTTTCATCTAAAAAAAAACATTAAAAAAAAAGAAAGAAAATATTAAAGAATTTTACATAAATATTAATATCGCTCCCAATAAAATTACAAAATAAATCCAAATCCACCTCAACAGTCCCAGTATTTGAACTAATACATAATTCATTGCACATTTCTTCGAAAAATGATTCGCACAAATTATAGTTTAGTGTTTGGACATAAAAAGGTTTGTATAAATTTTTAGAATGAAAAATTCCACATGAACATGGCCCCACTTCGGTTAATGTTGAAAAAATTAAACAAAATTTGACTACACTAGAATAAAATAGATAAAGTTATTCGACAACTTGATGTTTTAAAAACTTACATGTTTATACAAAGAATTAAGTAGGAGAGTTTCATTTTCAATTCAAAATGCACTACTAATGAAGTATATCTGAGAGTGGGTTAATAAATCGGAATTATTGTGGAAGATATCAATGGAATGAATCATATGGAAAAATTTGAGAATTAAGCATAATAACATGTTTTAAAAAGAAACATTAATTAATTAATATCTTTAATATAGTATAACAATGAAATAATATATACAAAAGAATTTTCTTTAATTATTTGAATATATAGTTTTCAATGTTGTTACATCAAACGTTAACCCAACCTAACCATGGGGGATTATCTTTAACATTAGACTATCTATCTACATTAGATTAAAGCAGTGGTGAAATTATCTCCTTGCTAGTTTTTCTTCCAATTTGGCTATATACCACAAGCTCCCGTAATGACAAGGTAGAAGCTATAAAATCGTTTATCATTTTCTTGTTTGTCCAAGTATGCTTTAACATACAATGAAGCCTTTCTCCTAGCATATGGACGACGAGGTTGGGACTTGAATGCAGGTATTGTGTACTACAAGAGATAGACATATTTTCTCTTCGTGGTTATAACCGTTGTTCTACATGCAGTTTTGAGTATTGTCTGCAATTATCTGCTGTTTTTGTCATCAGTTGAAGTATGCTGTGATGTTTTCTATACAACATTATATAATGTCCTGGACACGTAAAACCATCGGAAAACACATTAAGTCTAAATATCTTCTGTGGTACTCAACTCCATAAATTGTCTAAACGAACCAATTACACCTTTTATCGAGCAAGGTATGTTCGTCTCCGCCGGACTGTAAAAGACATATAATATGTAAGGTCCTTGGAACAGAACATGAAGCTAATGTGACCAGAAACAGTGCTGAAACGCGATGGTGAATTTTTTTCTGATCTACCAACTGTAGTTGATATATTTGCCGATTATTTTGAAAGTATGTATCTTCCGGCACCAGACGTCAATGTTAATTGGCCTAAGTTGGAAATGACTGGGATGCTGTCTCTTTCGGCATCTCTGAAGTGAATCATGATGAGATTGTGGAAGTTTTTAAAAAATTTGAGGCAAAAACTTCGACAGGTCCAGATGGTATCCCCGCATATCTACTCAAAGACTGAGCTTCTGCATTATTACAGCCTCTGCAGCATATTTTCAATTTAATAATCAAGAATGCTGAGTTCCCGAGTATCTGAAAGATGAGCAGAGTTTGCCTATAGCTATTATAAATAATTTTTTCAAGATTTTCGAGCAAATTATGACACGCAAAATCGAATTTTACGTTAAGGCCCGTATATCTGACCAGCAACATGGGTTTTGCAAAGGCAAATCCACAGCCACCAACATACTCAGCGTTACTCAGTACGTATCGAATGCACTAGATTTTCGAGGGCATGTGGATATTGGAGTCAATATATATCGCATATTGACTTTTCACGGACTTTTAATTGCTTGGACCATGGTTTGTTGGTTGAGAAATTGGAGAGGTTTGGATGTGATCACTTTTTCACACGACTTCTGATATCTTATGTATCTGATCGCAGACAATACGTTGAGTTAAGTCAAATACAAGGCAAATACATGTTACTACACCAGGGATCCATACTGGGCCGTTTGCTGTTCAACATCTATATAAATGACTTACCTACGATTTTCAATACTAATTTACTCCTATACGCAGACGACCTAAAACTGTTTAGGACTGTTAGTTGTGAACAGCATTGTGAATTACTCCAGCTAGATTTAGACAGACTTTATATGTGGTGTCTGAGAAGACACTTAAATACTTCCAAATGCCAGGTAATGACTTGCAGTCTTTGATGAAGATCTTGGAGTGTGGCGTGATGTAGTTTGATGGTGGTTTGTCCTTTAATGAACATATCGATAAAACATCAAAGAGAACAAAAAATAGTTTGGAGTTTACTGATTTAAAAACAATAATAGATCTTTATTTTACGCTAGTACGGTTGAATATTGTTTGACCCCGTCTAACTTAACGCACATTGCGACCATCGAGAAAGTTCAAAGAACATTCGGTAAATTTAGGTTTATCCACTACCTACATAGATTTTGGCTATTACCCAGCGTTTAGTATTGCTAAGATAAGATCGATGAGACTTTTGAATCTGAAGCTAAATATTCTTACCACCAGTACGCAACAGCATAACCATAGGTCGTTAATTTAGGGCCTATATAAATATAATTAACTTTTAATAATAAACCTTTAAAGTTAAACGCATAAATCAACAATAAATAAAATAGTAATAAAGTTTTCTGTAATTTGGGTTGCAAACCTACACTAAAATATAAATTTATTTTAATACTAAAAGAAATATGATAATGAAGATATTTAAAGAAAGAAAATGTGTTAATTGTGAACAATAATGAAATAATTTATTCTTTAATTTATATAAACGTTTTAGTTCTATAAATTAAAACAAACACAGTTGGGAACCATGCGCCGTGACAGTTATTCAAAACTTCATCAACCAATAAGATACGAGTATTTCGACATTTAAACCAACCGTAATCCGGTTTTCAAACGTCTGTAACTGGCAAACCACGTTCCGTCAGCGAAGAACGTTGTGCTTAAAATTCTCTTAAATATCGAAGAAGAAAATGTCGAAGGACGGAAAACAGGAGATCCCGGACGTGATATACGATTCAACCACGAAAACTAGCTACCAAAAAGGCAGATTTTTCGGAAAAGTAAGTAATCAAAACGTGATAATCTCTTCTTCCGTCCATTTTGGTATTGGAACCGCTTTTTTTTTTGGTAACCGAATGTTCTCGTTTATTTTGAAATTTAGGGTGGATTTGCAAAATGCTACGAGATCACGGATTGCAAAACAAAGGATACATTTGCCGGTAAAGTCGTCTCGAAGACCCTACTTTCGAAGGAGAATCAACGGCTGAAGATGATGCAGGAAATTAAGATACATAAAGCTCTTAGACATAAACATGTCGTTGGGTTTTATAATTTCTTTGAGGATCATTATAATGTGTATATTGTTATGGAATTGTGTAAATGCAGAGTAAGTATAAAAAAAAATTAATCATTTTTATCATAATTAATGAGATCTTTTTTATTAGTCAATGATGGAATTGCATAAACGCCGTAAAACAATAACAGAACCAGAAACCCGATTCTACATGAGCCAACTCCTCAGTGGCGTTTTTTATCTACACAACAACAACATAATCCATCGAGATTTAAAATTGGGTAATTTATTTCTAAACGACGAACTTCATGTAAAAATTGGTGATTTCGGTTTGGCCGCGAAAATCGAGTTTGATGGTGAACGTAAGAAAACTCTTTGCGGAACACCAAATTACATAGCCCCAGAAATTTTAACAAAACAAGGACATTCTTATGAAGTTGATATCTGGTCTATCGGTTGTATTATGTACACCCTTTTAATTGGTCGACCCCCTTTTGAAACTGAAAGTTTAAAAGAAACCTACTCAAAAATTAAAAATTGTGATTATCGTATAAACACAAATATTAGCGCCACCGCGAAAACAATGATTGCAGCTATGTTGCAATCGGATCCAAAACGTCGACCGAAAGTTATTGAAATGATGAAGTATGAATTTATGAAAGGTTATACTCCCCCTGTGTTGCCAACGAGCGCTTTAACGATGGCGCCTAGGTTTGATAAGGTCGCATCAAGGAAACCCTTGGTGGAAGTTGGAGACCCAAGATCACCCCAAGTCATTCAAAAACCAGACGAGGTTATTCGACAACCAATGGCAGCGTTTAACGCATTAGCTAATTTAAGATCACTTCGTAACACTTTAGCAAGCGTATTAGCTTCAAAACCAGTTCGAAATTGCAACTTCGGCGATGAAATGTCCGATCCTAATGCGCATCCGCTATTTTGGGTTTCGAAATGGGTGGATTATTCGGATAAATACGGGTTTGGGTATCAATTATGCGATGAAAGTGTAGGCGTAATGTTTAATGATTCCACTAAATTGATTATGTTGGCAAATGGAGTGTAAGTTTTAATCAGAATTTTAATAAGAAATTTTTTAATATTAATTTTTATTGCAGAAATGTGCATTACATAGATAAGAACGAAGTGGAGACTTATATGTTGTTAAATTCTTTCCCAGTTGTATATGAGAAAAAAATGAAATTGTTGTCTTATTTTACCAGATATATGAAAGAGCATCTTGTTAAAACTGGAGGATCGAATGTTAAGGAAATCGATTCTGTTTCTAGGGTACCACATTTGCACCAGTGGTGTAGATCCACTACTGGAGTTCTTATGCAATTAAATAATGGAACCGTTCAAGTAAATATTACAGTAAAACTTCGATATAATGGACAAAATATTTTTAAGTCATACTATTAATATCTATTTAATACATCAGTATATTTAGATATAAATGTTAGCACTCATAGATAGAATCCATCTTGGGGTATTCCTCAAGTTGCTCTATTCCATGTTCATAGATAAACTTGGGGTATTCCCTAAGTTTCTAGATTGTTGTATATTTTTATTGAACTAAAAGTAGAACTAACACTAGAAATAGAACTCGAAATTTTCGGGCTACATCTCTTAAGATGGCTAAACCTGAATGTTTCTAGTTCTATATCTGGTGTTAGTTTTACTTTTCTAGTGTTGGTGTTAGCGGAAAGCCGACGTTACACGTAGCAGTCGACTGCTATGTCTATTGCCATAGTAACGGACTGCTAGCGAAGCTACTGTCATGCTTAGAAAATTTTCTACTTTCGGTACAGCAGCAGCGTTAAGGCTGACCACACACGTACATTTTGAACTGACAGTTTGCACTGCTCAGTTTAAACTGTACACAGTAGAAGCACAGACACATACAGTTCAATTTTTCAGTTTTTACAACGAATTCGAAGGAGCAAGATGGAATCGTCGCTCTCGGTTTACTTTTTGTAATTCTACAAAAAAGTAAAAACTCGGAAAATGCGTAAACAATACTGTAAGGAGTTGCAAAGGCGTAATCAATCTTCGGATATCAGATTATTAAATGAATTAAGTGAAGAACCATTAGATTTCCTGAATTATTTGCGCATGACAGAAACAGTGTACCAAAAATTATTTTCGCTGGTTTCTCCATTAATTAAGAAGAAAGATACAGTAATGAGAACAGTAATATCTGTATGTAAGATTAACAGCTACCTATGAAAAGCAGATCTCAAACTATTAATTTTTATTGATAGCAGACTTCTTGTTAGCACCAGGTTCAATATCGTCCAACTTCTTTGCCAATTTGACATATGCAGCATTCTTCTTCGTACTGTCGTAGTAGTCATGATTCTTTACTTGCCACAAACAAGGTTTTGATTTATACATTGCAATCAGCTCTACAATCACCGGATTTGGTTTATTACGCAACATATTTATCACCGTGAAATTTATAGTGGTTAACAAAATACTAAACTCACGTTTCTGTCACAAATTGAACTGGGAACTGTACAGTTGCACCCCCACAGATCCTTTCAGTTAAAAAATTTAAATTTCATTCGTCTTAGTTTAACTGTACAGTTGAGTTGAACTGAGACTGAAATACACACGTAAAGGTTAAAGTGTACAATTGAACCGTACGTGTGTGGCCTAAACGCAAATTTGACGGTTAACACGCCAACCAAACCACGCCCCTCTGTACTTGCCGCCATAGCAGTTGACTGCGACGTGTAACGTGGCTTTAGATTGTTGTATATTTTTGATTGAACTAAACCTAGAATTAGAACCATTCGGGTTTCAGCCAATTTATTCACCCTGTGACAATACCTTATATTCATCTACCTTGAATTTATGTATCATAGTCGATTGTTGGTGGTAGATTGATACCTAAACTATGAGATAGCTGTAGTGTTACCGAAATATGACGTAAAGTTTACGTATTAAGTTAACCTGAACATCGTCGGTGCTACAGCAAGTCATTTTGCTATAGGTTTTGACAAGGTTTGTGTTTTTTTGTTTTGTGAGGTTGACTGTGAATCTTTAAGGTAAGTTATGATTATTATCCAATTTCAAAATGGAATTTATGGTGTGCAGAATGCTACAACGTAGTTAGTTTAGCGTTTCTAATCTAAAAGGGTAAAGTGTTCCAATGTCCATTACCTGTATCATAATCAGTGTGGATTTTAATCATTGGACACTGCGTCCAATAGCTATAATTATAAAATAGTTATTGGACAACAGTCAAACGCGATCATGTCAAAAGGCGATCATATGATGAAGGTACATCTTCTCTAAAAGATATTGCCAATAAAGATAATGCGTCCAAATCATCATTTGATTTTAAAATCAAACACCCAAGGCATAAAGAGAGTTTTGGGCCTGACATCGTTTTAACTGCAAATGAGGAAACTGGTTTAGTATATTCCAATAAAAGAGATGGCTAATAGAGGTTTTCTTAGGAATAAAAAGAATATATTAATTCAGAACTTTCTGAAAGATAACCCAAGGAAAAATCCTTTTACTAATAACAAACCAGGAATCGGTTGGTTCAAAGCATTTTGAAAACGTAATCCTGAAATTACATTTAGGACCTCTGAAGGAGTAACCGCTGCAAGCAGTTGCATGTCAGAAAACGACATAAGAAAATGATTTGAAGAGATAGAGGGATACATAAAAGAGAGAAATTTAGAAAAATAAAATATTTAATGACGATGAAACAAGTTTTAATATATGTCCGTCCACAGGAAAGGTCTATGCGGAAAAAGAAGCAAGAAACGTGTACAATATTGAATCAAAAGAGAATATTACCGTGATGTTCACATTTTCCGCGGATGGTAATAAATGTTGCCCAATGATAGTATTTCCCCAAAAAAAGATTCCTCAAATGGGGAATATGTAAGAGTGATGACGGGTGGATGATTGCGGAATCATCTATTTCTAGTAGAACGTAATGTTCCACTACCTGTTCTCCTTTTTGTGGATTTACATAAGTCACACGTTATGTATGAATTAAGTCTGTTATATAACAAACTGCAAATAGAACTTCTAGCTCTGTATCCAAATGCAACTAGAATAATCAGCAGATGTGGCAGTATTTAGGCCTCTTAAAGTTGCAAGAAGGAAAGAAGTCCAAAAGTGATCCCAGGTGAAGTAATCACCAAAATTATATTAACCACAAACATTAATAAATGGATTTAAAGCATGCGGTTTATATTCCTTTGACTCCAATGCAGTGGATTATATATAATGTAAGATTTTTTCATAAGGATGCAACTGTTATGCATGATCAGGATATGACATAGGTATAATGTTGAGGGCCACGGAAATGCGATCAAGAGTATTAAGATCGAAGGAAATGCGATACAGGATGTTGATGGCGACTGGAATAAAGAAAATATGATCCCTGAATAAGAATGTCGGCTATCTTTAGAGAAGTGCGGCTAAACCCGAATGATTCTAAGTCTAGTATTAGTTCCAGTGACAGTGCTAGGTCGCGCTAGTTAATACTAGATAGCTATATTTAACTAAAACTAAAATTAACACTAGAACTAGAAACACTCGAGGTTAGCCATCTTTTAGAGACGTGCAGCTAAACTAGAATGTTTCTAGTTTTAGATTTAGTGTTAGTTCTACATTTCCCATATTAGTCCATTATGTCGAGGTTTTACTATATTACAATATATTAATTGATCGTATTTGAATTAAGAAAAAAAATTATGATTAATTATAAATATACTTTTTATTTTAGATGAATTTTAGCGATCATACAAAAATAATAATGTGCACTTTAATGTCTGCAATAACGTACATCGATGATGACAAATCGTTCAGAACATTCCGATTCCAATCGATAATAAATAACGGTTGCTCTCAAGACTTATACGAAAAGATGCGTTACGCGCACGATAAAGTCAACTCGGTGATAGATGACATGGTGAAAAATAAGTGATACTTAATGGTTAATTATTAAACGAAAGTTATCAAGAAAGAAAAACATTTTTAACGTGTCGTAAAACGATGAACTAATTCAATGTGCAGATTCGAACGTGGTGAAACTGAACATCCGAATTTATTATTATTTTATTAAAATGTACATTACTTGTGTTTATTTAGGCTATAATTGAAAACCTCTACATTTTTATTTTCTTATGCGCTATATGTATTTATATTTATGATACTATACTCAATGTTAAGCCTGCAATTTTTGTTCGATCCGAGTAACTATAACTACGTTAATTAATAAAAGAAAAATAGAAGAAAAAAAAACGACGTGAAATAGCGCGTAATAGTATTATATACAAGTTTTATTAAAAATAAACTAAAATATTTACTGTAGTTCGTTTTGTAACCGCGTTTAATCCGTGATTAGAACATGTTTACTTTACCATGCTATGTTTTTAATTTTATAGTTGGAAAGGGAACGTTCTTTTTTTATTATAAAATATATTGTTTGTTTGACAGAAAAAAAGTAAGTTAATTTGTAATATGTCTTAATTTTTTCTTTTTTTAAATGAAAATATTTGTTCGCAATACCCGAATTATTCAAATTATGTAGTGTTCAAATTAGTGTTATTTTAAATTGTGTATTGTGAACATATTGAATAAATGTAAACGTTTAGATATTAAACTGAATACGCGATTAATTTGATTTCATTTATTATACTTTAGATTCTTTTTTTTTTATAAACGCATTTTGTATCTTTAGCAGGATTTAATAAGATTTCTTACTTCCTCAGAAGTCCAAGAATTAGTGATATCTATTTTATTTACCCAGTTCTGATAATGAGTGATTTGATATGGAGTTTTCTACTCTCTCTCTTTATCTCTTCCGGTTATATTTTTCTTTGGTTTCTTCTCTGTTTTTGTTAATTCATTTCTATTAAGAGAAAATATAATGATACAGGAAAAGTTGACATTTGGTGTTATTAGTTTTGATTGAAAAAGTTAATAATTAATAGGAAAAAACTTTATTCTTCAATTTCCTCGTTTATGTTAGCTCTCGTACTTTACAAGTTGAAGTCACCACAGGAAGAAATTTACTTTTTGTTGCAACTTACTCAATCCAACAAATGTTGTTACATAATTACATAATACCTTGTTAACAACGGTACAAAACCGAGTGGTTTATTTTTAAGTATTGTACCAAACGGGAATACCAAGTCAGAGATCACGACTTTTTTTATTCTTAACAACAGTGTATTCGTATTTTGCATTTTTAATTAATTTTATAACCTTGAATTTTTTTTAATTTTAAATTCAACACTCAAATGAATGTATTAAATTGTAATTTGAACGTGAAACTTGTTATGGTAAAGATTTATGGTTTCAAAGATTTATTAATTCATTTTTTTATTGAAATTTATTTAAAAGAAATCGAATAGAAAATATGCCCTATTCTTATTAATAGTAATAATTTATTCGCTACATTGTATGAATTGTAAAATAAAATTTGCACAAAAATCATGAAGATAATTTGCATGGCCATCACGTAGGTACATAGTTCTTTTTCTATTGCATAAGAACGGTTGTTATTTTTTTCCTATTTTTAACTTTTGCAATGAACGCTAACAGTAATCTAATAAACTTGCCATTGAGAACTAGAAAATCTATATAGATTTAGATTTTCAGTTTAGGCCACGGTCATTTTAAAAAACAAGTCACATGAAAATTACACAATAAAAATTCCCCTCGTTTAACATTAAGCCACCTACACCACGTTCAAATAAAAAGAGAAAGTTCTTATCAAAAGTTTTAGTTAATGAGATTAAGTTTTATCGAAAAGAATTGTAATGCGTTGTTATAACGTAGAAAGTAAGATTATATATAGTTTTAGAAAAAAGTAAAAGGGATAGTAAAGTAAGTAACGATTGAGTAGAAGTCGTTTTCGATGTCGCATTGAGCTTGAATGACAACTTGGACGAGATCTTTATTTTAATTACGTTACATTCCAAAAAGAAAACGATGCGTCTACCGCGCACATAACTTTTTCAAGTTCTGGTTGTTAAAGACAAACTTGGACAAGGTCAAAGAAAGTGGTTTGTTTACATTATCGTTGTAAGCACGTGCAAACGTGCGACTTCGTGATATGGATTGGTGACCAGGTTTACCGTATGCCACAGAGAAAGTTTTTCTGATTGACACAGAAAAATAATATTTAATACTTTATTCATACAACTGAAATAATTCATTAATCAAGATAATCAAAAACAAAAATTATAATAATCAAACTCCTAATTCGTTGTTGGAGAAGAAATGAATTTGAATTCGAAAAGACTTTAAAAGAAAATTCCTTAACTTGTTTAGTTTGGTAACAAAAGAATTTTATAGCAATGAAAGTATGTTTTTAAGATTCATCGACAGAGAAAGTCAAGAAATAAAACCGACTTTCTTCATTTTTTTTTATTTTGGTGACACAAAACTAATTTTAAAATCGTTTATTAAAACTAATTTTTTTCATGATGTAATTATTTTCTAATTCTTCTTGGAAAATTTTCAAAAAAGCATCAACACAATCAAATTAAAAAGTCGTTATGAAAAAAAATGTTTCACTTTCACCAAACCAAAAAGGTAATTAAAGGTTCGCATTACAAACACATTCTAAGAACTTGAAACCAAGGTTCAAGGCGATATTGGAAAAGATAACTACCTTAGTAATTACCTCCCGGTCGTCGTCGTCGTCTTCTTCGTTGTCGTCTTTGTCTCATGACCCCACCTCTTATATATAACTGTGTTAAATGAAGAATATCATCACAGTTCAACCTAACCGTCCTAACGGTAAGTACTCTCTTTTAGTAAGAAGGTTCTTAAAGAAACCTACGATTCAAATTTATTTTGTTATTAAGGTATTTTTGTGTTTAGTGAACATCTTCAGTATGAAAATTTCCATCATCGTTTTCGTTGCCTTTTTTGGCATTGCCTGTGCTCAATTTCCGGGTGGACGGATTTTGGAACCTCCAGTACCTGCTCTTTGTGCCAAAAGAACTATTCATGAAAGAACACCTGATGGTAAGTTAATAAATAAAAAATTTAATCTCTTTAAAAAGAATTCTATAGGATTTTCCAAGAAGTTGTTTTTTTGTTAAAAATAAATATGTTGTAATAATTAATTAGTAACTAATTAGGCATTAACAATACGCTAATTCAGTTTTGTAAAACTATTTGAGCTGTTATACGAAGAATCTTGTTGTGGTCTGATACCGCTTCCTCATAGGACGAAATCTTTTCGCGAAGAGTTGGGTTGGAGAGCGTTAGCGCGCATTCAACTCTCAATTATTCTAAATTCTTTCCTGCATAAATGTTGGACATTTTGAGTTTACCTCGGAACTAACGCTGAGCTATCATCATATCTTGCCATTGATGTTATCTGCTTTAGCCTACATAGCACTTTCCTCTAACTAAAATTCCGTTTTACCTGACACAATAACCTTTTCTTCAGTTAAACTACGTTATTTGCTGAAGGTTGGCCGAAACATTGTGCTTGAGACACCCATTTCTGGTTTTGGCTACTATTACATATAAATATAGTGGCTGGTTATTAGTTTCATTGATAAATTTTATCATTGGTTCCTGTTGTTGAAGTGTTGTAAGAAATCCTGAAACCATCATTTGCCATGTTTCCACATAACAGATTTAATCTACAGTTCATAACCATAAATTTGGTTTCTAAACCATTCGAGAAAGCCAATTTAAGGAACTGTTTTAAATAAAAGTTAGAGCTGATCCTCAATGAACGGCTATACCCCTTGCGTAGCTCTTAAACCTCATCTTTCTAGCAGAAATAAGTGGGTGACTGGCAGTTCTGTACAAGTTTTGGGACATATGGAACGTTAGCTCATTTACGTTTTAGCTGGAGAAATTCATCCACTTAAGCTGTAGACTTAATGAGAAATCTTTAACATATTTTCTGCAAAAGACGACAAAACTTTACTTAACCCCTCATCATAGTTATTAATAGGATTTTTGGAAATTCCGCAATAGGTTCCAGTGCGTGTTTATCTTGCCCTTTTACCTTTTACAGCAGGAATCATCTTCCTTATACGTAGAACTCTTACACCAACCATCAAGTTGGACTTCGGCGGTCTAGCTACAATGTTATGAATGATTGCTTCTGCGTTACACATAATTCTTCTTTTAGCACCCGTTTTTGGAGTAACCGCGTAGTTTAATTCGCCGATTGTAGCGATCATTCTGGCTATCACAACCTGATTCACTACTAAACAGATTAGTCCTGGTTTTATTAAATATCACGCCCTAAGAATCAAATCACGTTTCCTAGGAATCTTCCCCTGTAATATTTTTTTTAATAAATCGCATCTTCTCTCCTTCTTCATATATGACCGAGGAATTCGAGTTTGCGAGCTTTTAGCGCAGTTATTAATTTTCTATTTGGTTGTTACTTCGGTCAAGATCCATGATTCCTCTCAATGCAGCAAGACAGAAAAGACGCAACAACGCAGGAGTCTGATTTTTGTAGTTAGCGCAAAGGATCGGCTCCTAAATTTTGATAAATACGACTTTCGCTTTCTTTATCCTACAGCAATTTCTTGTAAGTAGTCCCATTGCTCGTTGATTGTCCAAATCCTTGAAAATATCTTCCTCTTAGAGATTGGAAGTTTAAAATTTCTATAACTAGACACTTTTGGATTTAACCTTTGGCAGAAATAAAATCAAAAGTAACAAAATTGGTGGAATGTAATGGTTTAAATTCTTGTTCTTTTTCCTGAACCCAATCTAACCTAATTCAACCCAACCTAACCGAACCTTTTCTTTTTTTTTTACGAGGTTGGGGTAAATCTGCAAACAGACACCCGGCCTACAGGTAGTGTGGGGATGAGGTCTAGCCCCGACCCACTAAACACCCTTTTCCTCGTTTTTTATCCCTCTGGAACCGCTTACGCATAACTTTGGAGACTCTCCGCTCCATGGTTATTCTCCATCTTTAACCGAACCCAACCCAACTCATGATTTTTTACTACATCGTCCTTAAATTTCTGTCTAAAACTAATCTTAACATGAACACAATCTAAATTTCTCATTCTATATTTTTGTGTTCAGCCACAATTAGACTTGGTCTTGTATGAATCTATATAACTAAATGAGCAATTTAATGAATGCAAAATTCGTTTTTTAGCGTTTTGTTCTTTTAATGTTTGCCTTTACATATGAATAGTGATTATTATTAGTGTTGTATTGTGCTCAGAAGTAAAGATGTTTAAGTGGTGAAAGTCAAAAACTAATTATTCATTTTGTTTCTCCAACATTTAATATTTCTCGGTGCTTAAAATGTTATAAAAACGTTTAGAAAACAATGGCCTAGAGTTTATATACCATATATAAAGTATCGAGATCGTAACATACGGTCTGTGACAATTAATAGTCCATATATGTACGGCCTAAACCTTAGCCTTATTTCTTAAAATGTCCGAAAATTACATTTTTCGAGATCATCTCGTCAATTATTTTTTCGATACGTCATTTTTAAAGAATATACAATGTGATTTTTATCAAAGTAACTTAAAGAATTAGTTTTTAACACGTGTTACCAATTAAAGTAATTGATGTCGTTACAAGAATTTTAAACGCAACGACATGATCGAATCGAAACCTTTTGCAATGTTGCATCTTATGAATATTAATTGAGATACTCTTGCATGTGTTCCCATATTAGTAACTGTCGACGGGTCGTAATTATTTTTAATGGTGAACCATCGCGATCCATCCTCTAAGGTATGCGCGAACCCGTTTCCACTTTGCTTATTCTCTTTAAATTTATCGAGTTCACCGACTTTAAACCCATTCGTTTAATCAGGTTTAAATAATTTAAATATCAAAAAAAATTTTATCACGAAGAATAATTAATGATTAAGCTCTCGACCATGAAATTAGAAATTCATATCGTTTAGGTATTCTTTCGTAATTGTGACATACTTTAAAAAGATCCGCTTTATTTAATATGTAAATTTATGTTTCTCTGAATCATCTAATTTTTGAAAGGAGATTAAATTAAATGGAAGATTTTCAAGGAAATCTTAGTTGTTTACCACAGAATGTTTCCGGGATGAATTTAATTTATTATAATGTGTTTTCTTTTAATTCATATCAGGTAAAGGATACATGTTCAGTTGGAGAGAACCATCTTTAAGAAATATCGAAGAAGATTGGTTGGGAGGTCGCAATTATTGTAGACAACGTTGTATGGATTTGGTTTCTTTAGAAACAAGCGCTGAAAACGAATGGGTTAAACAAAGAATTGTTAGCGATAAGGTAAATAAATTCTCATTCCACTTCATTAACTTTAAACTTTCGCAATTGATGCAAATTCCAGGAAACTGAGTATTAATTTAATTTTTTTTTTCTCTGAATAGGTAAAATACATTTGGACTTCAGGTCGTTTATGTGATTTTAAAGGTTGCGAACGTGCTGATTTACAACCTGTTTCTGTAAACGGTTGGTTCTGGACTGCCGTTTTACAAAAATTGGCTCCAACTACAAACAGGCAACAAAACGATTGGAGTGAAAATGGTGGCATTGGAAAACCTCAACCAGATAATCGCGAAGCACAACAAGGCGGAGCTACCGAAAATTGTTTGGCTGTTTTAAATAATTTCTACAACGATGGTATTCATTGGCACGACGTCGCTTGTCATCACGTCAAACCATGGGTTTGCGAAGAAAACGAAGATTTATTGAAATACGTTCGTTACACAAACCCCGAATTACGAGTTTAATCAATTTAAAGTTTTTTTTTAAGATCAAGGGATGACTGATGATTTTATTTATGAGTATTTAATTGATACCTTTTAATGTACAAAATAAATTTTAAACTAATTATTCGTTTTTTTATAATTATTTAATAAACTCATTTTTTCCCTTCCACCATAATAATGTGATATCCAAACTTAGTTTTTATAGGCGGATCTGTGTAAATGGGATTATTAACGGTTGATATGGGTAAAGCAAAAGCAGCATCTTGAAATGGTCCGACCATAGAACCACGAGTCATCCAACCTAAATCACCTCCTTGTCTCGCTTTATCTTCACTATACGCTGTGGCTACTTCAGGAAATTTTTGTCCGGCTTTAAGTTTTTCGAGGGCTTCAAGACATTTACCTTGTTTCTCGCAGAGAATGTGTCTAACTTTTACGGCGGTTCCCCCTTTTTTTTCTTTACCACCTAAAAGAGTTAATTAAAACTTGAATTTATTAGACTTTTAGATGAACCTTTTTCGTTGTCTTCATCCCCTTTGTTGCCTCCTTTTGATTTTCCGGCCGCTTTTTTTGGTGGCATATTACTTAACCTCACTTTTTTCTTTAGATTTGACAGATATTTGTATTAGTTCTTTTTGTGTTTAAGGTTTGGTGTTAAATTGTAAATTAAATTCTAATTTCTTATTAATTAATTTTTGCTTTATTTTAAAATTAATTTTTTCGAATATTATTATTCGTTTGAGATATAAATTTGAATTATTTTAATTTTTATTATGCTATTTTAGCGTGTATTATATTATTTTTAGGTAATTACTTGTTTGTGTTTTGGTAATTGTGTTACTGTTCATGTTTAAATCCTTAGATTATCGATAAGATTGGGAATATCTTTTTTTATTATTTACAAAATTATTCTCAGAAGTAATTCGAGAAAATGAGTGAAAGGTTGAAATACATGTGTGAACGTTTAAGTGTTCCACAACCGTGGAAAAAACTATCAATAATTTTGTGTGGTTTTGCATTTTTTAAGGAATTCCGTCCATCCGAGCCGTTTATTTTCGAGTTTATTGCCGGGAATTGGGATTTGGGGAGAGAAGATGTAATGAGGCACGTTCTCCCTACGAAAAACTACGTTTATTTAACAATTTTCATCTTAGTATTCCTCATAAATGATTTAGTGATTTACAAAACTCTAATAATTTATTTAGGATTATCTGGGAGTGTTGTTTTTGGACTTTTATTATGGACCACAGATTACTTGGAATTACAAATATCGCAGGTAATTGAAAAAGAATAATTTAACTTTTATTTTATAAATAATTATAAACATTATATTATAGATGTCATTTGTGTTGCCTATACTAACATTATTTACCCAATTTAAGTTGGTATTAAAAATGTTGGTATTTAATCAAGAGCGCATAACCTATTTGAATCATTATAAATGTATCCTTTCGTGACATTCGTTGATATCAATTCGAAAATGCTTTACCTCGCAAATACTTTTACGATGTGATTCTTATTACTAACTGAATAATATAGTGTAACGATTAATCGCGGAAAATAATCTCCGCAAAATGCAATCTTGGTTAAAAATATCGCTATTATTATGCGTTTTCGGGTTTCTAAAAGAACTCCGACCGTCGGAGCCCTTCATTTACGAATTTTTGATCGGCGAATGGCGCAATGTGACCCCCGAAGAAGTTGCTCAACACGTTTATCCTGTCGGAACTTATAGTTATTTAGCTCAATTAGTTATTGTTTTCTTAATAACCGATTTAAGCCGGTATAAACCATTAATAATCGTTTCTGGTATTTCTGGCCTTATCGTTTGGGGAATGTTGTTATGGACAAAAACATTATTAGAACTTCAAATTTTAGAGGTAAGCTTAATTTCAAATAAAATGGAAATTTTGAGCAGTATTTATATCCTAAAATTTAAATTATTTAATTATAATTGAACTACTAACAATAAGCTAATAATACTTAATGATACAGAGTATTGTTTAGATAAGTATTTTCATGATTAAAAGATAAGGAAGAATTATCAATTGAGATTTGGCGTTTTTATCTCGATTAATAATTTGTTGTACCAAGTACATCGTTTTAAAGCAGTACTCAAACGTGAATAAAGTCTAGACACAAAATCCTTTTTTTTAAATATTGTAAATGTATAAGTATGCTTTTCTTTGGCTTGCTTGTGTTATAGTTTTACTTGAAAATGACGTTCATACAAAATTCTGTGCAAGAATTGAGTTCTGCTAGTGATTGTTCTGCTAGTTCTAGGTCTTCAATGTTTTTTATGGGTTGTGCAAGATCAACCAAAAGATTCATTCCGCATATTCCAAGTTTTAAAAATTCTTTAATAGTCCATACAACCAAGTATTAGTTTAAGTTTCATTTACAAAGTGTCACAAATGTCTGGTAGAACGGTATTTGTGTTGATAAAAACAGAACATTTTATTCAACATTAACAAACAACAATATACAAAGTTTGCCTTCACACAGGCCCGAAGACGTTTCGGGAACGACGTTTTTGACGTGGAGATCGACCCCATATTTTATAAAGGGCGCGCTCCAAACGGTCGGGATTCTTGTGGGGAGTAGCATACAAGGACCAACCATAAGAAAAAGTCGAGTTGCCACTCCGTGGAGGTGATGAGGGGTGAAAAATTGATCCGGCATCATTGCTGAACCACCTTAGCCTTGGTTCTGGGTGCTAAATTCTGTTAGAATATCCAGGGGAGTCATCAAAATCTCATCAAGGTAGTTCTCGGAGTTGATCTTGACCCCTTAACGATAAAATTGCTAGTTGTCTTTCCGATCGAAGCCCCGGCCCAAACCATGACCCTTTCGAGAACCGTAACGACCACGCTCATTCGCAGTACTTTATTAGATATTTGTGTCCTGCCAGTTAAACCTTGAGAGCTGCTATATTTTCAACAAAACGTAATGGTTCTTACAAAGGTGTGCCAATATTGAAGCATGTATATGTAACAGAAATAATTTTTTGTCACGAATCACAGAACGACTCTGTAAAAAGAAACTGACAGAACTCCTTTATAAATAGAATCTTGTCTCTTACATCACATTTTAAATGGTCGCGATGTCGCTTTAAGTTCTCTTAGCTTTATTGCATTCAAACGTGAGGTAATTAACCCGCATCATTATTATATTCCTTTAGATTTCACTCATTTTTAAAAGTTTTATGGTTATTTTATATGTTTTGACTCAAACTTTTGTTTACCAACAAACATTGATAAAGGTTTTTTTAGAAAAATATAGATTAAATAAATCACTTATGTAATGTTTAAAAGTTAATCAAATTTAATGAGGTATTACTAAACAGGAAATGAGTTTTTAAGAAATTTTCATGGACTATTATTATCAATTTAAAAATAAAAAATTATTAATGTAATAATTTTTTTCTTTCGGCAAGCTATTTATTTAATACTACATAAAAGAAACATTTGTTGATTTAGGATATTATTTATAACTAGTTTCATTTAAATATTTTCATTCTGCTTTAACAGCAAAAAAGAAACAATGTGCATACTTAAATAATACGAATGGTAAAAAGCGATCGGTAATCATCGCTAAATAAAACTAATAAAACTTAATTGGCATTGCGTTCATAGCCGATTAGAGGCGATAGAGGCGGTCGGTTTAAAAATCGGCAAAACAACACACTTAAAACAATGAACTCTAAAAATCTTTTAACAATGTCGAGTAAATGGAAAGATTTGAGTTTTTAACCACGAAAGGTTTAATAAAGAACCTTGATTTTATATGCTTTATTGTAGTAAATCCGTAAAACGAACAATAAAAAAAAATTAACTAACCGAAGATAATTGATTCGAAAATTGTGCATAGAAATTACATAAAACTATTATATAATTTTTAACATTTACTCTATTTTTTTTTCTATTTCTTAGAATCACTATCAAGTTTATTACCCGAAGTGCACAAATCATTTCATTGTAAAGAAAATCAACAATTTTATCAAAAACAAATATTTTCCCCCGGTTTTTGATAATTTCTTTTTGTAAACATCTGCTGTATGGTTTCCGTCGATTAATTTTAGTCGATAATTTAAAAAAGGAAAATCAAGGTCTGTTAATTTCAACATCGACATAGAAAATGAATTTCAGATGTTATCTCTCATGTTTTTTTATTTTGTATTATTTAAATATGAATTGTTGCAAAAGTGGTAGTTAATTCAAAAGTGCGGGGTGCCTTACATTATACATTACACGTTCTTATCCCCTTGTGTACAAAACGAACGTTACCAAGGCCGTCAATTAATTATTTACCGTAATGATGTGAACACGTCGAATCAATAGCGTATAGGAGGTGTAATCAACTACAACCTTTTTTCATCACCAATTTATTTGGAACGTATCAAACGACTACTTTTAATTATTTATATAGTTATAAAACCGAATTTTTAATTGAGTTAGAAATTATCTATGTATCCTATCAAGATAATTAAAAAATCTGTATTTTTAAGAAAGTCCACGTAAAGAAAAAAGTGTTACCAACTTCTTAACAAAGTTTAAGTTTCATGCGCCACATGTGATACTTTTCTGGAAAAGTGTGTTGAAAGTTTACTTTAATAAATAAGAAATGAAAGTAATTTAGGTAAATTTTTTAGTCTTTTATTGTCAGAGGTCATTTTATAGTAGCAATTACATGTATATTTAATAAAGTAATATGTCAATTTTGTTCAATTTTTGCAATTTTTAAAAGCGTATTGTTGATTAGGATAAAATTTATTTAAAAATTACATTGTAAATTAGATGCTCATAGGAAACATTTAGTTTAAAAACACAAGAACATAAACAAAACAACATATAGGAACTAGGACACAAAAATATGATAATTTACTCTAAAAGTCTAAGCTATGCATACTCCGTCCCAGAAAATCAGAAATATCAAAAATAAAAGAAATAGCTTGGAAACAACACAAGGAATACTGGAAGGCTGGAGAGAACATTATGTATAACACTTTCGGGAAAACAGAGGAAGAAACATAAAAAGGAACAGCAGGAGGAACAGGAAGACACAGAGGAAAAGCAGACATACCAACCTATAACGGAAGAGGAGGTGCTTAAAAAGCAAAAGGCAGTAAGTCGCCAAGCAAAGACAGATTAACACCTGAAATGCTCAAGAAGGGAGGAACAATAGTTACCACCTTGCTAACAAAAATGTACAACCAAACAAAAAATGCGTTAAATACCTGACAATAAAAAGGGATACCTCCTCAACAGTACTAAATATTTATACTACAATAATAGAAAAGCGTATAAGAGAGGAAGTGGAGGTTCAAACAAATTGAAAACCACATGTATGTATACAATTCGAACGATATAGATAAGACACTGGATATTGACAAAGAACTGTTCTTAGAGTTCTTAGACTTGAGGGTGGCTTTTTATCAGGTGCCAAGAGAACACATTTTCGAAGCGCTCCAATACTTACAACAATAACAAAAAAACTAATAAAAGTAATTATGTATAGCATGGCGGAAAAAAATGTAAGTCTAACAAACATATACCCAAAAAAATTCACATGGACAAACGAGTAAAACAAGCCGATTACCTGAATCCACTTTTATTTATAAACCATTGGTAAATAAATAAGGAACATAATTAGTAAAGCCAATAGCATAATGGGCATCTGAAAATGCCCAACCCTAACATATGGAGCCGAATCATGGACGATAACAGAGAAACATCGATCGAAAGTCGAAATGAAGTACCTACGACGGGTGGTAGGAAGTACAAGACGTGATAGGGCGAGAAACAGAAGTATTAGAGCAGAACTAGAGGATTCTATGCTGCAAATAATTTCTCTATTATTCAACAATTTCAGCCATATGGATACCTGAGAAGGGTGAGCAATGACAGACTCTCAAAGAGAATCATGTAGATGAGGATAGAAGGGAAAATGCTTAGACGGGAAGACAACATTGAGGAAGGAGTCAGAAATAGAAGGAAAACGAATGTCAAAAAAAGAACCTAGCTAACAACACACCAGAAACAGGACATGCCGATACCGTGAGATAATTGGTAAGTAAGCAAGAAAAATTACATTGAGGTTACAAAAATCTGAAGAAATAAATGTAGTTCAAAGTTAATCTTGGATTATAAATGTAAGTAGGCTAAATCCCAAAAGTCTTAAAAGTAATAACTCATTTTTTTTGATTATACAACATTTCTTGTCCGTGGATAGTTCTTTTGTGAGAAGAATACTGAAGTTATACTGACGTGAATGGTCTTAGGTTTCTTCAATTAATCCCATACACTTATGTATATTACAATGAATGTATATCCGAGATGTTTCGTACTATCTTTGAAGTGTTGTTGTTACAGATAGCTCTGAGCAACACTTTGCGTGTGCACCTAACCTTACTACTGGATGGTTAACCCTAGAAAGATAACCATATTTTATAGTACGTTAAAGATAACCAGTCGAACAAGTCGATTCGACGTAGGTTATCTTTCTAGGGTTAAGTTACATTATTTTAAACACATATTATATTTTTGCAATTATACAACATACTAGGGACATTGTAATAGCTCGTAATTGCAAATGATTTCTGCAACTGCATAACTCACTTTTATACCTTATTAGATATAATCGAGTATTTGATCCATACTTTTGTTTGTTTTGTATTACTGATTGTTAGTGTAGTAGTAAAATAGTTTGACGAGTTTTAGACAAGTGGGAATGTTTTGATAAGAAATATTTCATTTGCTTCAGTTTCGTCGCAAACTAAACACATGGAACGTAGTAGATGATGAGTTGTGAATCTTAATGATAGATAATCTACTTTACATTATATTAACAATTTTTGATTTCCTTGCGTTAAAATAACGCTGTTCATTAAAACTTATTTGGAAAATTGCTCTACAAAAACGGTGTGCTTGATTAAAGATGAAACATGTATTCTATTTCTATTAAAAGATTTATTGTTTCAATACATCAACCATTTTTAATCATTTTCTCAGAAATGTATCTGTAAAAACAGTCATAAAAAATAATCTTTTCTTGGTCATTATTAACAAACGTAAAACAAAATTGGTCAAAGTTATAAAGAAAGAATCAGTAATTTTTTCCTTTTACCTTATTATTTAAATTGGTGTATTTGATTGTCCAATTTTCTTATAAAATGGTATAATTTATTCCATACAAGTTTCTTCAAATCTTAAAGCAAATTTTCTAAGTGAATGATTTTGTGATTATCAAAATTTATTAATATTATACAATTTAATTTATTTTTTACAGATATTTTACGGTACGTTTATGGCAACAGAAGTTGCGTACTACACCTACATATACGCAAAAGTTCCCACGGAATTCTATCAACAAGTAACATCTCACACAAGAGCTGCTCTTTTAGTAGGAAGGGCACTATCCGGATTTTTAGCTCAAATTCTAGTCTCTTTTGACGCTATGGATTACAGGGAATTAAATTACATTACTTTTGCAGGTAAATAAACAAATTTTATTAAATTAATTTTTTTATTTAATCCATTTTTATTTTCAGCATTAATAGCGGCAACAATTTGGGCAATCTTCCTTCCATCGGTTCAAAAAAGCATTTATTTCCATCGGATGCAAGAAGAAAACCAACATTTAACCGCATCAAAATACAAAACGGCTTTCAGCTTAATGAAAAAACATTTCATCGATTCATTTTCAAATAAATACGTTTTAAGATGGTCCATTTGGTGGGCTTTAGCAACAGCTGGTTTTATTCAGGTCCAAGTCTACATTCAACCATTGTGGAGTGAGATACAAAAAGAGTCAAACAGTGATGAAGAAAATTTTAACATTTATAACGGAGCTGTCGAGGCAATTTTAACAATAATCGGTGCTTTGGGTGCTTTAGGAGCGGGATTTATAAAAACCGATTGGAAACATAAAGGCGAATTAATGTTATGCGTGTGTTCTTTATTTGGCGGGGCTTTCATTTTAATTTGTTCACAAACAACATCGGTTGTAGTCAGTTACGTTTGTTATGTATTATTCGGTGGATTATATCACTTTATGATTACAATAGCAAGTGCTGAAATTGCCAAATTTATTATGGAAGATAGTTACGGGCTTGTATTTGGTTTAAATACTTTGGTTGCTTTAACGTGTCAAACGTTTTTAACACTTTGTTTTGTTACGGGAGATTTAGGTTTAGCACTAAGTCCACGAGATCAATATTTAGTATATGGGATTTATCACATTATTATTTCCGCGTTGTATATTGTGATTGGATTGACTGCTTGGATGAGAAGTAATCGTGATATTCAAAAGACTTATACGTAGCAAATTTATTAATTTGCAAATTTTTATTTATTTTCTTCATCAGATTTGCAATGAGAATATAATCCACCTTGAAAAGTCTTTATTAATCTTAATTATTATTCTAACTAAATAACAATTTTTGATATACATTACATCTTTTGAATCATATTATAGCACAACTAAAGTTATCTGATGAAGGGAATAAAATGACTCAAGCAGCAGAATAACATAGAATCGTTTTTAGGAATTTTGAGAAACGTTTTTTTTTAATTTTTGACTTGATTTGTTGTTTAATTTATGAAAATTAGAAAGATTTTATTAAAATACATTCAGTATTTTCTTTGAACGAAACGTAGAGTATTATATAGAGTAAACCAGAATAAGCTCAGTGACTTAGAGTATTTTAGACTGCTTTATGAAAGTGTTCATTTTGTTTAAACAAATATTGAGTGCTGGACACTTGACGATTTAAAAGACTAGGATGTTTGGAATTCTTTTGATAGAATAAATGGAAATTGTTGATTAATTTGAATAAATACGATCTTAATTTCTTGATTTTATTATATCCTTAAAAAATATTTTTTATATAAAAATATGTAATAATATCATAAAAACCAATAACAATAACCACATAAATCCATATTTTTCCCCTTTAAAATGCCTTTTTACAACAAAAATATTTTAGATTATTTTTTTGGAATATATTTTAACCACCCAATCTTCCTTAAATGTTTTACAATAAAAGGAGTTGATGTTAATGTTATAGCAATTCTAGCAGGAGCAAACACTTTATGTACAGCATAAGCAACAACAAAAGTTCCTGCATTTGTTGCTAATTTACTTTCACCATCCAGATTTATCCCTAAATAAGAAACTACAGCCGCTAAATCCAAACCACTAAAATAATTAATTAAATAAATCTTACTCAAAAGAAAACAAAAAAATCTTACCTTGACACAAGAGTATAACAAATTCCTAAAGAAATCAAAGATATTCCAACATGGAAAATAATAACAACTGGTCCATATTCAGCAGCAGCTTTTTTAAGTTTTTGAGCTACTGTAAGTACTTCCTCCCCTTTTCCATTTTGATTTGATGATGATGAAAACCTTTTTTGATTTATCAGGTTCGAATTACTTAAAATGCTTGAATAAATGCTCTTATTGGATTTAAAACTAAGTTGTGGTGTAAAATTTAAGTCTTTTGAAGGATATGTGCTTAATATAAAATGCCTTTTTGGTATATTTGGTCTAAAAAACAACCTGTTAGGGGTGTTTATACTCCGTCCAATGGAACCTTTAAAATCATTAAAGATACAATATAAGATTTAGAATACTTTTTACAAATACTTACCAAATATTCTCTGATATAAATACATCATGTTTATTTACATTAAAAACAATTTATCTAAGAATATTTTCTTTTAGGTTATCTTGGAAATTTAATTTAGCATAGTTACAAATCCCAAGTGTAGAATTTTGCAAAATAAGATTAGTTTAGCTATTATATAAAAGATGGCTAACATAAATTTATTTCGTTTAAATTCCTGTCTAATAATTCTTGGTTGACTGATGAATTGATAATTCATCAGTGCACAAAGTTGTAGAGGCTAATTCATTACTCTCTAGGCAACAAGGTTAATATGACATACTTCCAATATTGTGGTCAATATTATGATTTAGACCTCTTTGACTGGATATTTTCAAACACTCAAACGACCTTTATGATATGGTGAGTTATTTTTTAAATGAATTAATAACAATTATGTTTTATTAGGGCTGGAAGAGATTTTGAGAAAACATAATTTTTGCGAAAACCGGAGATGTTATAAACATTTCAACTTTGCCCAGTTCATGCATCATGGTTTTGTTGTGTACAGAATGGGCTGGTCGACTTTTTAGCAGCAAGAATAAAGCAGATCTTTGATACCAAAGAAATAGAGACATATAAATAGTTCAGGAAGCATACATACAAACTATACCAACAGAGGCGGGCTGATTAATATTAGGGCAAATAGATGGTTTGGCATGTCAGGTTATAAAAAGCTGGTACATAAAGAAAGAAGAAGAAATAATTTGCCACATAATCCATTTCTCAATGGGACATGAGTATTTACACAAATGTTTTTATAGCATTCGACTCATGCGACAAATGAGTTAAAAAATTGTAAAGGTATGTTGTCCAATCATACAATCAGGGGCTAACTACCTCTTTGTGTGTCACCGTTTGCAGGTCAGTGATATGGGAGCAATTTACAAGTCAAGTATGAAGTATTTTCGTATGGTTGAAAAGCACAAAATTGTATTTGCTTGTGTATCAGTTGCAAAACTCAAGATAACGTTAATCTGCACTCTGGTCAATAAAAATATAATAAAAGCAGACTGGTGATAAATATTGTCATATTATCATATCATTTCCTACGTGATTGTTGTTACCCAAACGCTTAATTAATACCGTTCAGGACAAGAAAATACATAATCTAATAAATCAAGATACAATGAAGTGATTAACTTTTTTGGTAACAAATTCTTATCGTTTATAATTTCATACAACAAGTTTGCATGACTTCATCAGCATAAACGCTCAATTTAATGAATAATCAATTAGTTTTAAGTAATTACATTTATGGTATAAGTTAGAAATGTCAGAAGATTAATCCTACTCATCAATTTAATTTAAATTCAATTTATTTACCACATAAGTTATATACATTTTGATTATCTTAATTGTACAGAAAAAAATAACGCTAAAACAATATGTTTTATAAACGTAAACATCTAACATACACATGCATACATTTTCTTTTTTATTTTAGACTACAATAACGTTCGTACAAAAAAACAAAATGCGTACGGAAGGAAAAGCTCTTTTGGACGAATTTTAAATTTTAACATACACAATAAATACGTACAAGGCGTTTTTATTGACCATTTTTTGTCTTTTATTGCGGAAAGTTCTTAAAATCGCTATAAAGCTGAAAAGCTTAAAGTTAGATATCACACATATACATGTTACTGAGCGTACGATATATATATTTTTTTCGTTTTTATAATTTAAAAAAATCAGTCGTTAAAAATATACAATACAAACTAAAACAGAAGATCACTTCTTACGTTATATTTACAAGTTATTTACATAAAAATATTTTACAAATTCTAATAAATGTTATATGCCACAATAGGAAAACACTTTCTTTCATTAATTACATTAAAAATATTTTTTACGTATAAAAATATTTTATCTTTGTTAGTTTTGTTTTAAAATGTCTTGAAATAATCTTTGGATTTACCATCAATTGACACACAATTATTAATTTGTTAAAACGAAACATTTGTGTTATACAAAGGTTATAATACAATTCTTTTTAATACTGGGATACACAAATTACTAACATATCTAAGTAAATATACAAGATTAAAATATACACGTACATTTAATAGAGAGAACCAATGAAAGCGTACAAACGTATGTTTTTTTTACAAAAAAAAGTAATAATATTAAGAAGCAGCGTTAAATAATGTAAAATAATGGTAATAAAACGCTTATTTGGTAAAAAATCAACTTAATAAATATAAAAGAAAATAATCAGAAATGTTTAAAGTTGAAGAAAAAAGAATTTGAAGGGGAGTATCTGTTTTAAAAACTTGGTTTACTCTTGTACTATGAGAGGTAGTCAACAACAAAAAAAACTAATATTACTACAGTAAACTCGTTTTTAAAAAAATATACTCGCACGAAACTTCAACGTGCGTTCAATTCAATTCGATTCAATCGTCATTCAGAGTAATATGTAGCAGCAAAAAGGCAGTTTAAATATTTTTTTTATGATTTAAAGCGGTATGGTTTCTTTGCGTTCTTCCAATACAAAAATATCAATTAATTTAAACATTTACAAACACGTCAAGTCTTTGATCTCCTATTTTTCTTAAACAAGACGAAATGTTTCTTCTCATTTTAAAAACTCCTAATTTCAGACGTATGCCGCCGTGTGTCTTCCTTTAATCCTATTGAAAAACACTTTCCAACTGTGCATCGTTTTTCCGGACCAAATCCAAACGCTCGACGTAATTCCCACAATCATACACATTAAATATTTAATCATGAACACTTCGAAAAGTGGCCTACGATCGGGATCTCGATCTCTCGGACACGGTATCGAATATTGGGACCTTCTGCACATATCTTTAGTCCATGTGTGCATCCAAGAATCGAAGTAAAGTTGCTCGTAGAAGAGACACGCTATGACTATGACCGCTGGGACCGTGTATAGAACCGAGAAGATACCGATGCGGATCATCAGTTTTTCTAACTTGTCCGTCTTCGTGCCGTCGTGCTTCATGACGGTCCTTATTCGGAATAAGGAGACGAATCCGGCAAGCAAGAAGATTGTACCTAGGACCAAGTAACCGCATAATGGCGACAGGACGAAACCACGGAGAGCTTCTACGTTCCATATGCCAACGTAACATACTCCACTTAGGACATCACCTGAAATGAAAAAAAAAACATTAAAGGTTAGTTATGAAAAAAAAAATGTATAAAGTAAACAAGTTAAATCTAATAAGGATTTATTTGGAATTTAAAGGCTTTTTTGAGGAGGAGCTATAAAACCATTCTTGGGAGGAATTTCTTAACTGAAATTAAAGAGAAATCGTTAAAGTTATTTTTATAAAACGGAGTTTCTTTAGAAAAATTTACAAATATTAAACACTAGTTAAAACTAATGAGGTTTTCTTGAAATTGAAGCGAAGCTATAAATAAAACCATCCTTAATTTACTAACTCGTTTCTCAAGAAAATGTTTAAATCATTTTGTTTTAACTCTATACAAAAATGTACCAAATTCCTAAAAAAACCTACTTTTGCATACTAAATAAGTATTATTAATCCGGTTAAATTCTTATTTTTTTTTTGAAATCAATTAACTACAAATCAATCACTTTTGCTCGTTTTACATACTTGGCATCATTCAGTCGGCCGATAATGTTTTTGCTCTTCTCCGTATACGCGTAGTAACTCTTCTCGGTCATGCTTCGACGACGGAGATTTCATGAAAATCCTCAGCAATAAATCGTCAGTTGTCCGTGCTCAATCACAACAAACATGTGTGCAGTTACAAAAAAAATATAAATAACCGGATGAAAAAAAAAATGAAATAAAAATAAAAAATAACGGTGACCGCATGTCCGCGTGATACTCGTCCTAATGTAACGTATGAATTGAATACAAATTCCGTTGAAAAGCGAACTCGGAATCGAGCATGTTAAAACAAGACGCGTGCTTGGGATATCATCGAGGTTATCGTCTTTTCCTCTTGTTATTTATTTTTTTTTATTGATGCACGACTAAGTGTAAAAAAGCAATTAAAAGCACTAATAATTTTAAAAAATTATTATATCCTGATGATGTTAGAATTATGACGAAATTTTAATGGTCGTTTATAAACATAAAAGCTTATGAAACATTTTTTTTTATATTAAATCCGTTATCATGTTTAAAAGCTGCGAGGATCTAAAGAAAACAGTTATTTTTATGTAATTTTTTTAATTAACTCATGACATATTTTACTTATAATTTGTGTTATTTATGATTATAAGAAATACAAGAAAATCAATGCAAGTTGTGAATTATGGTGGATTTTAGATTAACCACCATTATAATTTATGCTAATTGCCTACAAGCGTAGTGATTAAGGTCTTTTGCAAATTATCTTTGAAACTGTACACTTAATAATTATTAAAATCCGGTAATCTTCTAAATTATTAACCGAAATACTAATTACTTCCTCAAGGTTATTTTTATCCTTAATTTTTAAAACATACACATATCTCTTTGTCCCAATCTTCTTCACGTCCTGCCATACCTCATCTTTCCAAGCACTTTCTAGGTTTTCAAAAAATCCTCGTGTTTGAGGAGCATAGGTACTTAAAGTTCTTGACACCCTAAAAGCTGTAGTTTTTGGCGGATGTTTTACTTTTTTGTCCCTTAACTATCGTATCTGCTTCTATCTTTCTGAACACTTCAATCTCTTCCTCCTTATTTTCAATATCTCATCATTTACTAGGTAATACTTGTTACCATAACGTAAACACAATTTGACATCCAAACTCAAATAGAAAGCAAGATAGGAAGATATGGTGTATAAATGAATTATTTATTTTTTTATAGAGGGGGGGTATTGTATACACCCTCTCTTAAACTTAATGGTCCAAACAGTAATGAGTTGAAAGAATTAATCTTAAAATATGCAACCTACTTACAAGAACTGAACGGGAGATAACCAATTTCTGCAAACGCCAGGTCGATGAATGTGATTTACAGATTCATTATCATGATACAGCAAACAGTTTAAAGTAATTTTACATTCAGTTCTTAAATGTCCGGGTCACAATTAAAATTTACTTTCTGTCCATATCAAATTTCTCGTATTCAGTAGACCATGGTCACAGCCGAGACATCCAACGGTGTGATTTCTATCACGAGGCCACCGCAAGAGGCTATCGTAATGCGTTAAACGTCGCATATTTTTTATTTCCTATGACGCATGAGTCGTGCGCGAACCACGGAAACGTTATTTGCCATCGGTGAACAAACCTTATTATTATATTTACTGCCATAAAGAATTGAAGAAATCCTGCTTCAACAGTTAGGAGGTACTAAACTTACTGAAAAACGTTCCATTCTTAAAACGAGACTTGGAAAGGTCTTTTTACAATACTTATATCAGCTATTACATCTATTACAATTCCGTCAATGCATCTTGAAACCATGTTGCGTCACCGGGCATTCATCCACTTGCGTAATAGCAGTATTGAATATTGAGTATTTCTTTGAAATGAATTTAAATTTACGCCAAGTAGAGTTAAGTGAGAGGACGATATCGCTTTACTAGGAGATATTGGCATATCGGCTAGACGCTTTTAGAATGCCTCTAGAATGCAGAAGGATTAGTTCCTTTTCCTTTTTTAATATTTTCTCAATAGGAATCTTTGATATGTTTTCCATCTTTGTTTGTAATCTTGTGCTGCAATTGATACTAAATTAATCGGGCAATCATAGAAATCAGCAAAATTGCAGTTTCATTTGCGCGTAGTTGCCTGTCGTGTTGGTTTATGATTCCTCATGTTAAGGTTACATGCAAAACACCTAACGTAATCGTCCAAAAATTGTAATAATCTACAAAATTGAGCCAGTTATCATGGTTCAGAGTTGGAACAAATTTGAATCAAAACCGCTGCATAAAATGTTTAATATAAGATAGATAATATATTTGCTATGGATACTTATTGTCAAATTTGCAGATTCTGGTATCTACATATATGTTGTGTTCGTAAAAGAGGTTGCAACGTTTTTTTCAGGCAGGAAAACTTCAGTCGGTGTCGGTGAGATTTTCCAAACTGGTATGACATACGATGCCTTCTACAACAAATTTCAAACAAGTAACTCTATTTGTCTCATATCTTCCCATTGACCTAATACGATTGATATGGAAAACTGCCAACGCCAGAGATCTTTGAGGTGTTCACATGGTACTCGTAGTTCAGATTAACCTTTTGAGGTTGAGTGGCAAAGGCTAGCTTGGTATAATACCGCCTGACTAATGGAATTGTAGTGCACTGATGGAAGCCTCAACCCAAGTTTCTGGTGGCACCACAAACATGGTGCAACGGCTGACTATTAACAACTGGGTCCTGTTGATTTTCGTTAGCTTAACTTTCCCGCTTTATACGGGCTTAGGCCCCGCTAGAAATTCTTACACGATTATAACATATGAGTAATCTGATATGTGAAAACAATCATACATGGATTACCATCGTTAGCAAAAATGATATTGCATAAATTGTAAAATCTCGACCTCGGTTTGATTACGCAAAATTACTTTCTCCATTCTGAGTTTATCTGAGGCTGCAAACGACTTCAGCTTATTCAAGCAAAATATTACATTTTCATTCTAAATTTAGTCGAGGTCAAATGAAGATAGGCACATGCAAGGGTAAAGAATAGATCACATATATGGAGACCTAAGAATACCCCAGAATGGTGTTTTGCACATATATGTTATGATTTCACACCAGCCAATCATTAATGAATACTGAAACATCTTTGGTGTCCTACAACTTGGAAATTCGAAATCAGCACCTCCAAGGGTTGCGACCTATATCTGTCTGGTTGCAATCCTAATTTTCATCTTCTTTGGGACAATATTCAACACCTTCTAAAAGCTTCTTTATTATGCTCAGTAATGAGATATAATCAAAATCACAACATTTTTTAGGTCAAATACTGATCTGATTTAGTTAGTAAAGTTGATAGAGAAGTCAAATCCGTTTAGGGAGTATGTTAAAATTTTTCATTACCAACTTTTTTCAACTTTTCTTACAAAAAAAAACTGTGTCATGGAATATTTTACAAAAGATAAACGTACCAAATTACACTGGTTGCAATTTCACAAGCCGCCTCGTTGTCGTTCGCCAAAGATTATGCATAAAATAAAAAAAGATTGTCGATCATCGATGATGGTGGGTATACCAAAAGGGTATATTAATACATAAACTGTCCGTTGGATCATTATGCAAATTGCTTTTGTTGGTCGCGTATATAACCAAACTGGCGAGATGCGTATCATTTTATTAAACTATTAGGTTGATCGGTGTTTCGTCCCAGCAAGAAAACAGGCCAATTCGAAATAATTATCGAGGACGTGTCGAAGATGCCAAGCTACCAGTCGGAATATGTTTCTTAGTCTCTTCACGATATTAACCATCTTGCTCACCTTAACTTGTTCTTTTATAAACTAAAAACCTCGTTTCGATTGAGATGTTCCACTTAAGGGGACGTTAAGAGATAAGTTTATTTCTTTAATAAAACAAGTTTATTCAAAAAAAAGAAAACCTTTGTTTTCTTAACTCACTTAGCGTGTAATTTTAAAACTCTTTTATTACAATACATTTATGTTTTTATATAAAATAAAAGCACTAAAAGCAACCATGTATAAAACAAATCTGAAATTTCCACCTCAGAATTTCCAGTTATACTTTACAGTTACTTTATTTATTATCTTTAGTGGTAGCAAAACCTTCTTTTCCATTTTCTTTTACGATGACGTACATTAAATTTTTTACCACACACTATATTGTACATCATGCGTTACCTTTAACAACGTATCACCATTTATTGCCTGTTTATATTGCTATTTACTTTTTCTGGTAGTTTTACGATCGATTAGATTTTAATGTCGCAGAAAATTTTTACTTTAAGACTTAAAAAAGAATTTGCAGTTTAATTTTTTTGATATTAATTTTTAATATTTTTTTAGATGAATGAAAGAAGAACAGCTTTTTATTCGAATTTCCCTTTTTGGCGAATCTCACAGGTTTAACTTGATTTCATTCTCGGTTACATCCCCGTTTTGATCTCGTTCCGAAAGGATCGAAGAATTTCAAGACGACATTGCGAAATAATGAAGATGGTTCGGTTTTAATTGAACTG